CTTGCAGGGTGAGTACTAATGTTTACCCTATAAGACTGTTGTGAAGGTTAGAGATGAGGGAGGCTTAGTGAGGGCAGGGATCCCATCTTCTGTGGTTCCTGGTATCCCAGGATTCAGCCCATGTAAAAGTATTAATTAATTAATATAATTAAGGATTTTATATATAATTATATGATATATAATATATATTGTATCAATACATCTAATTATATAGTACTTATTATATACAGAAAACCATACATTTATAGATACAAAAATTCATCTTTGATTTCCACCTGGATTCTTTAGTGAACAACAACTAGACTAATAAAAGGGGTAGAATATATTCACAACAACAGATCATACAGGCTATGGAATACTGAGTCTGTGTTTGTGGGTGGGGCATCGGTGTGTGCCCAGGAGGGTTTATATGTAAATCTAAACACAGAAAACTCGCATGCTCCATAATAATGATTAACAAAGCAGATGCCTTCAAAGTGATAGCAGACTCTTTAAGGAGGAGCCTCAGCCAAGATGACCTCCATTTTGGGGTGATAAGCAAATGAGAAAGGGAAATGAAGAGATGAGAATGCTGGCACACTGGATTCCATTAGCACAGAGGAAGAAGCACAGTCCCTTGGCATTAGAAGGAATGTCAGGGGTCACAGAGGCAATAATTCCTTCCACGATGCCTCTTTTAGAGAGTCACAGGGCCAGGCAAGGTGGCTCATGCCTACAATCCCAGAACTTTGGAAGGCCAAAGCGGACAGACTGCTTGAGCTCGGGAGTTTGAGACCAGCCTGGGCAACATGGTGAAACCCCATCCTATAACAAATATAAAAATTAGCCAGGCATGGTGACACACGCCTGTAGTCCCAGCTACTTGGGAGGCTGAGGAAGGAAGATCACTTGAGCCCAGGAGACAGAGGTTGCAACAAGCTGTGAGCACAACAATGTACTCCAGCCTGGGCGACAGACAAAGACCCTGACCCTGTCTCAAAAAGAAAAAAGTCATGGTTCCTGCCATGGTTCAAGCACTCACACCTGGAAGATACTGAACTTGGTTTTGCTGAAATGAAGAGCTAGAAAGTTGCTTTGTTACTGAGCTACACTCTATAATTAAGCTCGATAAATATTCTGCCTGGTATATGGCAGCTCCTCAAATATTTAAAAAACTACTGTGCCCTTCTCAGGCTAAACATCCCCAGGACCCCCTCATTCTGATAAAGATATGACTTCACAGCTTCCCACCCCCAACCTCCCGTGACTTCCCAGATTTCACCTCAGCCATGTCTTCTCTTATACTTCTTCTGAAATGGCTGAAAAGCAAATAAAGACACACAGAAGGATCCCACACTGAAGAATAGCACTTCTGGGCGCCTAAAGTTACTACTGTAACCTTCTCATCAATTCAAGGAACAGCTGTAACAAACAGCTGTCAGTCATAACATCTGGGTGTAGTTACACTAAAGCAGCCCAAAGTTTCCTTATAAAGCAATCTCACGTACAAGAGAGCTTCCCACAAAATGAAACCACAGAAAAATGTTGAAGATAATTTTAGTGTATTGAGGAAACTGGTGCCCCCATTGGACTCACTGCTTTCAAAAGTGTTCCACATATATGTGTGTATGTTTCACAAAGCATGTTCCACAGAACATTAATTCTGTTGGCTGTTAACAGGAAAAATTCCATTTTCAAATAAATGATAAGTTATCTGAAACTCTAGGATCACAATTTTAAAAATTCCTTTGCTGAAAGTCTTCTCCAAGTCTTCACTATGTTTCTATGCATTATGCATACTGCAGAGAGAGAGAGAAGGATCATGCAGGGCTTGGCAACAAAATATGTATTAACTGATGTATTTTCTGGGTGGAGCACTGCAAATAACACATTTTGGAAAATGCTGCATTAGCTCATCAATACTTGTGGGGCAGCACACACATCAGGGGAGGTCTGCCGCCTGGTGATCAGGTGTCCGGCAACGTCTTCCACTGTGAGCAAGTAAGGGTTACTAAGGGCACACAGGTCCCCCCAGGCAGAGATGTCTGGGCCTTGACCAATGAGATCTTCAGGAATACTTCAGCAGCTATTTCGGATATTTCTCTATGGATCTTCTCATGGGACTAAGTGGAAGTTGGAAAAGTATCATCAAACTCTTCTTGAGATTCCTTTTTGATAAGGTAACCATCCTTCTGGATTTGAATCTCAATTGTGTTCTCAAGTGGCAATTTCTTGCAGAAACTAACGTAGCAGTACTACCGGGAAGCACTGTCTTGCAGGCGTTGCAGCAGCACTGTACTTGTGCGGGTCTTGGTTCCAAGTGGCTACCACAACTCAAGGAAGGTATGCAGGTCCACAAGAACAGACTAAAAGTGTCCACTCTTCCGGGGGCTCATCTCACAATGGCTCTTTCTGTGATGCTGCATCCCCATTCTCTCTACTTCTGTTCTTCTTTGAGTTTGCTTTGTGAGGCTCCTCATAGCTGGTTTGGAAATGCTAGGGCTTGTGGGGGCCAGCACAGAAGACCAAGAACACTAATAATGTTCACATGAATGTTATTATATATCACAGATAAAACTGAGTGTCTAGTATCTGCTTGGCACTTTCACAAATGATTTCATTTAAACTTTAAGACAGTCCTATTGGGCAGTATGTCTGCTTTCCCAATACAGAGACTCAGAGAGGGTAGAGAAACAGAGCAAGGAGTAAAGAGCTGACACTGAAGGCTGGTTCCAAAGCCCCAGTCCAATTGCTACATTTCCTTACCCTTCAGGGGACAGCCTCTGGAATATTTCTTTTCTTTGAAATATTCTAGAAGGAATGCAGCCCATACAAACACAACCAGCATGTACTCAGACAAACAGGACACTCCAACAAAACTATTAAAAAGAGGCAGACAGACTCTATCTTAAATTAAACTACGTACTTGCTTTACTCTACCAAATGCAAAATCTCCAAACAGTTATGCCAAAGTCACAAACATTTAATAAAGGGATGATGCTCAAGAACTTAAGAGATCAAAGTAGCAGCAATGATGGACAAAGCAACAGTATTAGTAGTGCCAAGGTGCGTGAGGCCCTCAAACATGAATTTCATGGGAGGTCCCTGGGTGGGGAGAGTACACTGGCAAGGACAGAACAGTAACACCTTAACAAAGTATATGGCTTTGCTAAGTTTTTAAAAAATTTCCAAAGTTTTTTTTTTTTAATGTCTAATATTTTGGCACAAAATAGGTACAAAGCATTTTTTTTTTTTAACTGCCAACTATTGATGGGTCAATGGCAGGTTGTTGGAATTACAATTTCTTTTAAAATCTTTTTCTTTTTTTTTGAGACAGAGTCTCGCTCTGTCCCCCAGGCTACAGTGCAGTGGCGCAATCTCGGCTCACTGCAAGCTCCGCCTCCTGGGTTCCCGCTACTCTCTTGCCTCAGCCTCCCAAGTAGCTGGGACTACAGGTGCCCGCCACCACGCTCGGCTAATTTTTTGTATTTTTAATAGATATGGAGTTTCACCACGTTAGCCAGGATGGTCTCGATCTCCTGACCTTGTAATCCACCCACCTCGGCTTCCCAAAGTGCTGGGATTACAGGCGTGAGCCACTGCACCCGGCCTTTCTTTTAAAGTCTTAATGGCAAATAACCCAGGTTGCTTCTAGCCATATTGCACTTCTTTCTGCATAAGGGAGGATGTGAAACCCTGGTACTTAATTATCCATTTTCTTATAAAGAAAGTATATGACAAAATACATTTGCATTAACTTTGGGGAGAGTCAACTACTCCCGGCAAGGGATGATTGTAAAGAATACTGAAAAGAGAAGAAAGAATGAACAACAAGGTAATTTCCTGGTTTCTCCTCAATAATCCTTTATAATTTTAACTGAAATAAATTCAGAGGCCATTAGATACTTCTCTATCCAAAAGTAAATGCAAGGGAAAAGTATCCAAATGACTTCTTGGTTATCTGTAGTTTGGGATCATCTACATTTCTATTAATAAAAATAACAGGGAGCCATACCAGAGTTTTCAGAAAATGCAGACTAAAAACACAATAAACATATCATTGGGGAAAATGTTTAAAATAAAAAAACTCTGCATTTTAGAGTAAAATATTATCTGAATGCATAATATATACAATAATTGCTCTACCATAAACTCCTTTTTCAAAACCAGAGTTCATCACAAAAACATGAGTTTAAAAAATTAATCATGCCAGGAATTGCACTGCCATAAAAGCAGGCCATTCTTTTCTGCTTATAAACAACAACAAAACTACCACATATGCACATGCATGCCTCAGTACCTTGGTGCAATGGTGTATTTACTTGTATAAATATTTAAAGTCAGACCTTTGAATTTATAATGAAGTAGTACACCACTTTACAAAATAAGGTACTAGTAAATTCAGATGTATGACAAATAGAACTCTGTACAGAATACTAATTGCTGCTGTTGCTATTCTAAAAAGTAAAAAAATAATATCGTTCAGATTCCACCTAAACAAGCCTAACACATGTGCCGAAATCTTAATAGGTCATGATGAAGCCTGATTGGTGCAATTTTTAAATTATCAGACAGGCTTTGTAACTGAGGCAAACACAAGCTTCCTATCTGGCATTTTTTTTTATTATCTGCTTATTTTAATATACATATTCAATTACCACAGGAAAGAAAGAGTAAAATCAGAAACATCTATAGTTTGCTATGTAATGACTAGGTGTTCCCCAGGGAGATGGACCTTTTCACACAGACGCAGGTGCTGAAAGGGTACATGATGGAGGATGTTACAGGTGTAAATACATAACATGGTGATAAAGAATTCAATAGACACGGTGATTTTCCACCTTAGTTTATGTTAACAAAAGTATATACGTTCTGCTCTTAGGATTAATCTCCTGCTCCAGCATGCAGTAGCTGAATACATGTGCTCTTAGTGGGGTCCACAAACCACTGACCCAAAATGTTCTGATTATATAATAATGTTAAATCTTGTGTCTGAAACTCTTAGGCAACCATAGCTTTACCTGTGATTGGGATATCTGCAGCCATGTTTTCTTTCTTGCTCTTGTCTCCACAGCCATTTGAAACTTCTAAAAATTGAATGCATAATAATAAAAATGTATTTCAAAGTTAAGGAATAGATCCTTTGGGTGTTTAATTGCCATTATTTTTTTTTTTTTTTTTTGAGACGGAGTCTCGCTCTGTCGCCCGGGCTGGAGTGCAGTGGCCTGATCTCAGCTCACTGCAAGCTCCGCCTCCAGGGTTTACGCCATTCTCCTGCCTCAGCCTCCCGAGTAGCTGGGACTACAGGCGCCCACCACCTCGCCCGGCTAGTTTTTGTTTTTGTATTTTTTAGTAGAGACGGGGTTTCACCGTGTTAGCCAGGATGGTCTCGATCTCCTGACCTCGTGATCCGCCCGTCTCGGCCTCCCAAAGTGCTGGGATTACAGGCTTGAGCCACCGTGCCCCGCCAATTGCCATTACTTTATGTTCAATTTTTTTTTTTTTTTTGGTTAATGTATTTCTTGTCTGAAATAATACTGTTCCTAAAAGGAAATCTATTCTAAAATTAAGGTATCTCATAAATAAAAATTTAAAAATTAAATTAAATTAAGGTGCCACTATGTTGCTTTCATGCAAAATAATTAGGCCTGACATCTATCAAATTTGGGTGGGACATAAAATAAGTGAGTCTCACATCCTGCACATGTACATCAACTCGAGCAATTCCTGAGGAATTCATAACTGTCTTGGAAAACCATTAAAGCAGTTAAATGGCATGTCTTAGCAGTAGTGCTAAAATAATCACAGTTTCTGGGTGCTCAAAATTGGTTATTAAATTTGGGGGGCATAAATTCATTGATTCTTAATCAACTGTTTAGACACTGGTAAGGTTCTATTATAATTAAAAGGAATGTTTACAATTATGAGTAAATTCTATTAAGTGATATCAACAACTTCACAGTACTCTATGGAATCATCTTCATCTTTGTGGGATCAAAATCATCTACTGCCAAGCAATTAGTTTTGTTAAGATTTCATAACTTCTGAATACTTATTTTATTAGAAATAAATTCCCTAGAACGACAGACTTACAGTTAGATTTCCCATTCCTGTTAGACTAAAGGAAAACATAAGTATTTATTGGAAGGTGGTATAAAACAAATAATACATTATGCATATTAAAATCAGAGGTATTCACTAGTCAGTGATATTCTACAGGTATACCTTGAGAAAGATGATGATGACCCTGAATGCCTTTTTGCTATGGACACACACTTCAACAATAGTTACCTTGTTCCCTTGTAGGAACGCTGTTGAGCCATACAGCAGATTTGGCTTCCTTTATTCCACTATTGTCATTCAGAATAGACGGCAAGCTGCAAGATGATTCACTACTGTGAATAGCTGACCTATGGCCACACTCTTCTGTAGGGGCTTTTCTCAATAATGCTGTTGCCTACAGTGTTTCAAAAAAAGCACAAAGAAATAAAAACAAACTGTTGCCACATTCCTCTTGGTCTCAAAGACATAGCCTTCAAATATAATTTTAAGTTAAGCTTTACTTAGGATTTGTTTCCTATATTTAAATGAAATTAAAATGTCAAGATAAAATAACACCAGGTTATTTTCTACTATAATCTAATTCTTTACAAGTTACCCTCAAAATAATACACTTTTTGAGGGCTGAATCTTATGTAATGCAGAAATGTTCTTCTGCTTATTAAGTATGTATATGAAACCTGACCACCTCTGTTAATCTGGGCAGGTTTATCCTCCCTTTGATATATACAAAAGGCAGAGAGCCTCAGACCTCCTTTCTGAAGGAAAAAATTATTCTTTCATTACATGAACCCTATTTTCTAGGCATGTCAGACAGAATTACTTTGAACTGAGAAAAAGATCTGGAAAGATGTGACCCTGCCATATCCCCCGTCCTCCTCAAAATGACCCATGAACTTCCCCTAAATAGGAAGATTGCAGAAAAATTTGTGGCTGAAGAGAATGCACTGAGCAGAAAGATAACTGCCCTTATTCTAAATTCCAATCTTCAATCAAGTACTAAGATGGTCTACACTTTGCCTGTAAGTTGTCTGGGGATCTGGGGAAACTCACCTACCACACTGCCTATCTTTTCTCAAAGGCATTGTCTTACTTATAATACCTCATGTGTCCTGAGCAAGGAGGAAGATATAGGTTTTTATCAGAGCCAACCTTAGAGGTGGAGAAAAAGGGGCAATTCACAGGGCCTGGGTTAGTAGCCATGTCTCTTGATTTTCAGGTCAGTACTTTCCCCTAAGAAATACAAATATGCTGGCAACAAGAGTTAAACTTTTAGTAGGTAACCACTGGTCACATTATCCCGCTGCCAGACTGTATGTTTCTCTCATTTCCTATTGATAGGTGGCAATTTCCTTAGGTAGCTGGAGAGGAAACCTCGGTGGTGATGGTGACCCACAGGTAGCTGATAATGACAGTAAATACTGGGTAGTGTCTAACCCAGTTGTGCGAAATGCCCATGAGTCTTTAAAATTAATATGAAGAGCATAAATGGACAAATGTTCATAGGTCATCATTCGCCAAGAGTGAAGTGGTAACAACGTAACTATCCAGTGAACAAGGTGGAAAAAATAACCTTCCTTGTGATTAACATGAAAGAAGGTGAAGACACTCTGACAGGGAAACTCACTAAAGCAGAGCATGGAAGGTCTGGCCTTGCATATTTGGCATTTCAGACACTTTAAAGCAACCGCCTTTAGTCCCGACATCCCTGCAGGGTTCTTGCCTTCTGCCCTCCCTAGTACTGGCTGACCTCCTGGACCCATGGTCTACCCTAGGAGCTGGAGTAGCTGATTAGGGGGATTTAAGGAGTTCTAGTCCCCCTGGCCAAAGAACTTGGTGTCAAGTTAGCCTTGCAGCCAGGACCTTTCTGTGGTGCAGTTCTAGTGACCAGGGGCTTTTCCTCTATTTCTAGAAACTAGTCCCTGGATTTCACTCCACTGTGATAACTCTGTTGGGATGACTTGCTCAGTATTCCCATTTCTGCAGAGTAGGGGGAAGGCATAGGGTCCTGCCCTTGAAGGCCAGGCCAAGGTTGGTTCCCATCACTGCCCCCATCCCAACTGCCTACACAGACCACTGCACTGCACCTGTTTCTGGAATCTACTACAAACATCTTTCTAATGAGTCCTTGTATGCTTGACAAGAATATCACCATTGCCAACAGTTTTGCGCTGAGCCCTCTTTTCCATGGTGAGGTAAATAATGTGGTGGGCACACTGCACTGCTAGTTTAATTTACTTTGTACACAGACAATCCTTAAGTTTATGAAGGAGTTACATCCAATAAACCCACAAGTCGAAAAAATTGTAAGTCAGAAATGTATTTAACACACTTAACCTACTGAACATCACAGTTTACTTTTGCCTGCCTTAAACTGCTCAGAACACTTACATTAGCCTACAGATGGCTAAAATCATTTAACACAAAGCCTATTTTATAATAAAATGTTGATTTTCACATGTAATTTGTTGGATACTGTACTAAAAAAGAAAGAAGTGCTGTATGGGTACTTGCAGTATGGTTTCCACTGAACGCCTATCACTTTCACACCACTATAAAATCAAAAAAATGTAAGTTGAACCATTGGAAGTCAGGGACTATCTGTATTTTATCCCATTTATCTTCACTACTCAATACTTATCTCCAGGATTTCCATTACTTTTTTGATAGAAATGTTTACAAAACAACCTATCTTTTAAGATAATTCCACAGATAATTTCTCAAAGATGATAAGCAGGGATGAAGACAAAAGTTAGTCTCAGACAAGGAGAGACAACGATAGATCATAGATTTCTAGTCAAAAACAACTTTGTTTTGAGACAGTCTCGCTCTCTTGCCCAGGCTGGAGTGCAGTAGTGGGATCTTGGCTCACTGCAACCTCCACCTCCCAGGTTCAAGTGATTCTTGTGCCTCAGCCTCCCAAGTAGCTGGGATTACAGGCGTGTGTCACCACATCAGGCTAATTTTTGTATTTTTAGTAGAGGCGGGGTTTCACCATGTTGGCCAGGCTGGTCTCGAACTCCTGTCCTCAGGTGATCTGTATTCCTTGGCCTCCCAAAGTACTGGGATTATAGGTGTGAACCACTGCGCCTGGCAAACACAACTTCTGCAGTCAGGAAAACATCTGTAATACATATTCAAGATGTACTGCTTGCAGATGTTCCAGAAAAGTTTATTTCTAAGGAAACCTCCAATTTGAAGGAGTTTGCAGTCTGAGACTGACGACACTAACATATAGAGAAGCTCAGAGAACAGTTAACAGGTTGCTTTATTACATCTCACGCTGGGACTAAATGGGTTCTGCAAATTGGAGCTAATTCTCTGAAAAAATGTCACTAGACAACAATTTTACCACAGGCTTTCTGATAGTGCTTATGAATGAACTATGCATGGGTTTCAACTTACCTGTTACTAATAAAGGCTCTCTTTTTGGAGCCCAGAAGAGAAAACTAGAGATTGTTTCATTTTTCTCAGCAGTCTGAAGCCTAAGTCAGTACCAACAAACCATCTCTCCACTTTTCAGCCTTCCCAGGAGCCAGGAGAAAGGGCTTGGAAATTAAATGCCAGGGCACACACTATTTGTGGAATGACTGATGTTGATACTTCCATATTTCAGACATTATGGCAGATAAACCGTTCTATGAATTATACCTACAGTACTATTCCTTTATTAGCCCAGTTCTACTAGAAGTTTCCTCCATGTTCAGTTTAAATATTAATCTTGCTATGTCTAGAACCCCAAGAATCATCTAGGCTGACTCTTAAATTATATCAAAAAACTTAATGGTTGTGATATTCAAATGTATAAACAGACAGATGTAAGATATTAATAGAAAAGACATTGTGTCCAAAACACCATTAAGAAAATTAAAAGACAAAAATTAAATTGCTAAAAAGATAGTAACAAAATCTCCAAATTTATATTTAAAAAGTTTTTGCAAGTCAATAAGAAAAAATATTACTAACCTAATAGAAAAATGAGCAAAGAACATGAGCTGGCAGATTATGATAAAAGAAATACAAATAGCTAATAAATAGGTAGAGAAAAAGTTCGACCTCAATTGTAATAAAAAGGTCAAACGAACAAAAAAAAATTGGATGTCATTTTCATCTCTCAAATTGGTGCCCCTAAAAAAAAAAGTTGATAGTATCTAGTTTCATAAAGAACTCAGAGAAATGTTATTTTCATCCATTACTGGTAACTCTGATGACCCTTCCAGAGTGAGATCTGGCCATGCATAGCAAAAGCCTGAAAGATATACCCACCTTTTGACCTAGTAATTCTACATCTAGGAATTCATTCTAAGAAAATATTATAGATATTTGTAAAATCTGAATTGCACAGATATTCTCTGAAACTTTTTTACTAGAGGAAAAATTAGAAACAAATGTTGAACAACAGGTAAATGACTGAAGTGACAGTGGACAGGGGACCTCTGTAAAGCCATTTGAAATGATATAAATAGAACATGTAATGGTATGAAAGAGTTCACTTTGCAGCAAATGGGGGTAAAAAAAACACAAGGTTATGTATACAAATAATGCAACCTATGTTTTTCAATGTATTAATTATTATTATTATTTTTTAAAACAGAGTCTCGCTCTGTCACCCAGGCTGGAGTGCAGTGGTGCGATCTCAGCTCACTGCAACCTCTGCCTCTCAGGTTCAAGCAATGCTTGTGCCTAAGCCTCCCAAGTAGCTGGCATTACAGGTGTGTGCTATTACACCTGGCTAATTTTTCTATTTTTAGTAAAGATGGGCTTTTACCGTGTTGGTCAGGCTGGTCTTGAACTCCTGACCTCAGGTGATCCACCAACCTCAGCCTCCCATATCAATATATTAAATATTAAAAAACATACACCATAATGTTAACAGGTTATATATAAATAGTAGAATAGTAGGATAAAGGCCAGTTTTCTTTTTGTTTATCTTACTATTTCAAGATTTTTTTTAAATGCTTGTTTTTAAAAGAAAACATATGCTAGCTCTAAAGAAATCCAATTTCTGCTATCGGTGGTACCAATACAAAGAGAAAATGAATGTAAATGCGTCTGATAAAATTAAATTCCCTTCTATATGCAAACCAGTGCTACTAACACAGACACAGAAAAGCAAAAGAATTAAAAGCCATGGATACGGACAGCAGATGATATTTTCCCCTAGTATGCAGATTTAACTGACTCTTCCTCAAGGTTCAAGAATATTCCTCTTGGACAATGGAAGTAACTTCTTGGTGTTTAAAGAGAAATGCAAGCATCAACACTTAAGTTCTACATTAAAGGGAATGAAGGGATTTTACCTGTATAGCAATTTTTTTTTAAATGGGAAGATATTCATATGACCCAGCAAATGAGTCTTCAGGAGATAAGAACAAGAAAACAGTCCAGCATTTGGGGAAAGCATCTTCCTGGTGAATAAAACTGGTTTGTGTGTATGGTGGGGGGCAGGACCCAATCTACTCTATGAGTGTCACCAGCAGATTGCTCTGCTATGACAAAGTTCTCCAGGGCGGAAATAGATATCACTTGGGAGAAAACTAATATTAAGGCACCTTGTATTTTAATGAAGTACCCAACTCATCTTTTTCTCCACAAAAAGTAATTACAAATTTTTCTGATTTAAAAGCAGGCAGTTCAATTATGTAATTGCCTAATAGGTTATGTGGGCACTGCGGACCTTATCTGGTCTCCAGGGAACATAATCTGCGTTTCTGCGGCTTTGATGATGTATTTACTCAAGAGAAGGGATTGACTCGGGCTGACAGCACAGGGAACCACAGGTAAACATCATTTACATGCGGCTTTTTAATTAGCCATTTACCCAAGAGATCAAAGTAAATATTTCTGAGCTTCATTAGACTCTTAACCAAGTAGTTTCTAGTAGAGCTTTTTAAATTTTGAAAATCACTTACTTTTAAGATTTTATCTAAAGAGAGAGATTTAACCCGTAGTATTTACTAAATGTGTAGATGGTTTCAACACACAGAAACAACTCAAAGAAAGACACTTTAGTTTACTAATCAGAAAAGGATGACATGTAAACCAAAACAGTTTTAGGACTCACAAAAGCATTTTGTCCTTCAGTTCACAAGGCGCGCCCCGCCTGCATCATTTTGGTAATATTGTTCTTTGGGACTGTTCTTCAGTCCCAAATAATATTGTTCTTCACTCACAACTTAACTGGATGGGAAATTACCTGTTTATTTCCCTTTTTTTTTTTTTTTTTTGAGACAGAGTCTTGCTCTGTCACCCAGGCTGGAGTGCAGAGGTGCAATCTCTGCTCACTGCAAGCTCCGCCTCCCAGGTTCACACCATTCTCCTGTCTCAGCCTCCTAAGTAGCTGGGACTACAGGTGCCTGCCACCACATCCAGCTAATTTTTTGCATTTTTAGTAGAGACGAGGTTTCACTGTGTTAGCTAAGATGGTCTCGATCTCCTGACCTCGTGATCCACCCACCTCAGCCTCCCAAAGTGCTGGGATTACAGGTGTGAGACACCGCGTCCGGCCTACTTCCATTTTTAAGGATAGATTTTGTCATTAATCTATTGGTAATTTTTACGATTGTCCCTAAAATGAGATCAGAATGATTTGAAAAGGAACAAAGATCTATTGGGGAAGCACAATATAATTTGATTCATTAGGTATTAATTGGACAGCAACCCCTCCCATTATTGGAAAAATTGAGTAGATTGGTTGTTTAGGACTTGGACTATGTTTTCTAATATAAACAATATCATTAAAAAAAAAAAAAAGATTAGATAGCAAAGGACAGCTGACCAACACTTATTTTACCCTTAAAATGCCTAAGATATGATGTACTTGCAGTGAACAAGCATGGAAAATAATGTTGTTACAAGACAATGCTAACTCAAAGGGACAATAAAACCCAAACAGTATCTTTCTTAAGATCTATGTTCATCAGCTGCGCATGGTGGCTCACACCTGTAATCTCAGCACTTTGGGAGACTGAGGGAGGGGCGTGGATCGCCCAAGGTCAGGAGTTCGAGACAGCCTGGCCAACATGGTGAAACCCTGTCTCTACTAAAAACACAAAAAAATCAGCCGGGCATGGTGGCACAAGCCTGTAGTCCCAGCTACTTGGGAGGCTGAGGAAGGAGAATCACTTGAACCCGGGAGGCGTGAGCCTCGGTTGCAGTGAGCCGAGATCGCACCACTGCACTCCAGCCTGGGCAACAGAGCGAGACTCTGTCTTGAAAAAACAAACAAACAAAAAAGGAAGCAAACGAAAAAGATCTACGTTCATCAGCAAAGAATGAACGGATCTGGGTTATCTTTGAAAAGGGGCATGAAATCTGTGAGAAGCATACAGGGGGCTGTATCTGTCTTTGTAATAATTTATTTCTTCCCCCTAAGGAATAGGGGGAAGGGGAAGGGAAGGAAGTTTGAAAAGAGGGAGAAGAGAGAAAGAGCCGAAGAGAAGGAAGGTGGGTGAAGTGAGGGCAGGAAAGGAGGGAGAAGGGGCAGTACGAAGATGGGGGAAAGGAGGAAGAGGAGGAGGAGGGGGTCGGAAACAAATATGGTGCAACGGTAACAACACATGTGAATTTGGGTTGTGGGCATGGGATTAGTGGGTCTGTCCTATCAAACATATGTATGTTTGAAATGCTATTAAAAAAAAGTCCTACTACTCTCTTAATTGCAGCGGCAAGGAAAGAGGGGTCTGAGGAGGACTGAAGGTGCTCTGGAAGGCTGGAGGGGAATGCCAGAGGCTCTAGATGGCACAGCCACGTGGGCATGTGACTTCAAGACAGAGGCAGCAAAGCTTGACTCCAGAAGGTGCAGGTATATAATCCTTGAACTATGAGCATGACAATAATTTAAAAAACACATTAAAAAGAATCAAAGCCAGATTATATTATATATAAAGATGAAAAAACATGATTTGAAATAAGACACATTCCCAAGATGTTCAACCTAGAAGGCTGTTTCCCTGAATGTGACTTTTCTAGGGAATGAGGAAGGAATATGCCAATGGACATGCTCTAAACTTGGGCTTCTGGTTCCTCCCCTCATAATTTCCTTGGGAACTTGTTCCATCCGTTTCCATGTTCTGTTCAGCATCTTCAAATTCTCTCTTGGCACCAGCTCCCAAGGCCTCTCCTTCCTCTTGCCTGAAACACTGCAGGGCTCCCTCCTTCAATGTCTCAGTCCCAAACCAAACATGAAATTCCCTAAGGCACTGCAGAACTCCTATCACAGCTCTGTTCAAAAAGCTCCAGTGGCTTTTCAAAAGCTACGAAACAAAACACAGTCTCCCTGGCCTGGTGTTGGATGCTGCACACCATGGCCAGCAACTGCTTCTTGTGCTCCTTCTCACCATCCCCAGACTTGAGTCCTCGCTTCAGCCTCAGGATGGCTCTGTTGCCTGAGTATGTGTTGGGTTTCCCAGTGTGCTCTCTGGCTCACAGCTGCCATTTCTTGTCGCCTCTGCCCCCTCCGCCAACTCATACCGTCAAAAGCCTATCTTTTAAGGATCACCTCTCACACCCCTGTACTCCCTCCATCATGACCTCTGCCTTCCTTGCTTCTCCAGGAGTCTTGGCTTGGCTCTCTTTCCTGAAAGTCCATATTTTTGCCATTTTCTTATTACATGCATCCCATGATGTCACACCCCAGAAGGAAGGCGGGGGGCACATTTTATTTGTCTCTTTCCCTCCAATGGATCTGGGCTGATATCTGTGTACAGTAATGGATCGATAGGTATTTGCTGAATTGACATGAATGACTATACAGTATTTCTAAAGTATGGAGTGGAGATGAAAAACCAGAGTGTTATAAGACGCTTTGAAATTTCTTGGAAAATGAATTCCTACATAAAACATTCTGCAAAAGGCCTGAGGTCAGAAAGTTAAAAACCAACCAACCACAAAACCTCACTTACTACTTTTCTTATCGTTGTTTTTTTCAAATACATAACATTTCCTCAAATGAATAACTGGCACATCTGGAAACTTTTTTTTTTTTTTTTTTTTTTTTTGAGATAGTGTCTCACTCTGTCACCCAGACTGGAGTGCAGTGGCGTGATCTTGGCTCTCTGCAACCTCCGCCTCCTGGGTTCAAGCAATTCTCTTGCCTCAGCCTCCCAAGTAGCTGGGACTACAGGCGCATGCCACCATATCCAGCTAATTTTTGTACTTTCAGTAGAGACGGGGTTTCACCATGTTGGCCAGAATGGTCTTGATCTCTTAAGCTCGTGATCTGCTCGCCTCGGCATCCCAAAGTACTGGGATTACAGGTGTGAGCCACCACACCCGGCCAAAACTTTTCTTTTTCTTTCTTTTTTAAATAAAAATTACTAACCTTGCTCTGTGGTCCACATTTGTGACTGGGAAAACTTCAGACAGTTTAGCTACCTACCTCTTCTTTGAGAGAATTATCATGTTCTTTCAAGGTGGCAACATGCTGACCCACCAGTGCCCTCGGTACGCCTGAGTCTGGTGCTTGTCCAGGTCTATAAAACAGAAACAGGACACTCACTATAGATTTGTAATACTATAAGATTTCTACTTTTTTAAAGGCCTCAATTATGTTAGTAGAAGATGGTTTATCCAGAAAAGTCTGGAACTCAACGTATTCTGAACTAAGTGAGTTTTGAGTACAAGTATCTTTTTTTTTAACTTTTAAAAACTTTGGTTATTTCATTGCTAAGTGAGTATTCTCAACTTTTGCTGCACACAGAACAACCTGGTGAGTTCTGCACAATCTGGGTGCCTGGGGTCACCTCTACAGAGTCCAGGAAAAATGGTCTGGGGTGCGGCTTGGCCAATGGGCTTTTAAAAAAATTTATTTTAAAATTTTAATCTATTTCTTTATTTAGAGACTGGGTCATGAGACTGGCTTTCATCATGTTGCTCAGGCTGGTCATAAACTCCTGGGCTCAAGCAGTCCACCTGCCTTGGTCTCCCAAAGTGCTGAGATTATAGGTGTGAGCCACCATGCCTGGTCTGGTCAGTGGGATTTTTAAGGCTCACAGAGTAATTCTAAAGTACAACAATGGTTTTGAATCACTGCATAGATGGTCAGTCTTCCACATGTAGTCAAGAGAAAAAGATCACATTTTCATCTCGACAGCAGTTGTTTTGTTACACTCTTACCATGGTCTACTTACAGTTTTTAAAAAATTAAGATATTAGGAAAGCGTTAAAAAGTAAGCCTATACTGCTACCCAGGCTGCGGTATTTATATACTAAAAGGAACCAGAGTTCATTAAAGAAATGCCCTATTCAGGTCTGGGGCAGGAAACACACAAGATGAACCTGAAACATCTTGTGGGTACCAGAAAGCAAGGAAGTTCTCAAAGTTGTATCAAAAGAACTGAAGGTGGGGAGGGGATATCTTGAGGAAGCTCCCACTGTCAATGATGGGACGATTTCAGCCCCAAAAGGATACTGACTGTAATGGACTGAAACACAGGGAATACATGAAAATCCTTGAGTTCATCTAAAAATAAATAAATAAAATTTTAAAAATAAAAATAAAAACCTTTGGATTCAGCCTTAAAAGGAAGGAAATCCTGTCACATACTACAACATAGATGAATCTTAAGGGCATTGTGCTAAGTGAAATAAGCCAATCAGAAAAGGACAAATACTGTATGATCCCACTTACATGAGGTACCTAGAACAGTCAAATTCATAAAGACAGAAGTTGAATGGTGGGTGCTGGGGCCTGGGGGGAAGGGAAAATGAGGAGTTGTTTAATGTGTATAGATTTTCCATTTTATATGATGAAAATGTTCTGGAGATCTGTTGTACAACAAAGTAAAGATATTTAACACGACTGAACTGTACAGTTGAAAATGGTTAAGATGGCTAATTTTATGCTTTTTTAAACCACAATAAAGACAAAATAAAAATAAACTGTAAAACCTTTGGAGGCTGGTAGGGCAACAATTCATTATTCTGCAAATTGGTAAATAAAGAAATAGAATAAAGTATTTATCCTGCTTTTGTGGTCAAAAAATACATTTCAGAGTCACCAAGTAGCTGATAAGGAAAAGTTCTTCCAATAAACGCAGAAGAAATGATCAAATTAGAAAAGTCACCATTTTGTAAGTCCAAATTAATGAATGTATCTAGGAAATGGTCATAATGTTGTGAAAATTACATAATAGTAAACTTCTGTACTGGAGTCACCAACTTTCCGACATTTGAACCCACAGATCGGTCTTAGTATCACTAACCACGGGGTGACCACGCATCATGTGCTGCCCAATTTTAAGTACCAGCACCACCCATGACATTTTCTTGCCAAAATAACTGGCCTGGAACTTAATCACACATTTGGATCTAACCACCAGTTTACAGGTAATAAAGAGTAAAGAGGAACTGGTTAAACATACCAACCAAATAGAGCATGTAAATTCTCCAGGATAAGTGACCCAATTCCTTCAACAAATCAATACTATAAAAAAAGGAGGGAGGGAATGTTACAAAATTAAAAGAGATTTCAGAGACATAGCCAATTGTAATATGTGGACCTTATTTGAACTCTGATTCAAACAAAACAAATACAGAAAAACATTTTTTCAGATAAGCAAGGCAAACTGACAAGGACTAGGTATTAGATAAACTGAAGAATTTTGTTGATTATGTTAAATGATAGTATTTTAAATCCTTATATGTTAGAGATATAAGTATTTGTGAGTGAAATGATATGTTGTCTGTTTTAAACTACTCAAGAAAAAAAGCGTTAGGCAAAGAGATAAAACAAGACTGATGAAATGTGAACAGTTGGTGGGTCTGAGTAATGGGTATATCAGACTTCAAATGTTCAAAAATGTCAACGTAAAAAGTTAAGTGTATATTAGTGTCTGCAACTTACTTAGAAACGTATAAAAATAAGAGATTGATGGAAGGATGGATAAACAAATATGAGAGTGCAATAAAATGTCAGGAGTACAATCTGGGTGGTGTATATACGGACATCCACTGTATGATTCCTTTCACTTTTCTGTATGTTTGAAAAATTTCATAATAAAATCTCTGGAAAAAGAAGTAAGTCTAGGTACAGTTCAGAACCTTCCTTAATAAATCTTAATTGTTATAACTTGTGCCTGACCTAACCCTATTTTTTCAGGACTTGAATAAAGTGAGATGAATCATTGGAATCCTTTGATTCTAAGGCTTCTGACTAGTTTGATAGAAAGACCTTTCAGCAACTTGCCTTTCTTGGTTACCACCGTACCTCAATGATGTCATTAAACTACCCAATTCCTTTGTTTTGACCTTTGCATCTATATTTGGTTTCTTAACAGACTGCCCTGCTGGGAAAATGCACTGACTAGTCATCAGCAAATTCTAGCCCATTCAGCAGGTATATTTATTATAGTAAGTAAGTCAACTATGCTTCTTGCTTGAAAGCAAGTTTAATTAGGATAAATTAAATTAGTTAAACAGCTAAGTGAGTCAAATTATCAACTGAGTCAAATTATCAAAGAACAGTCCCTCTGGTGTCTAATACACATGATTTTCTGAAGTAGCAAAACGAAGACAAGACTCTTGTTACTAATACACCACCCAATTGCATCTACCCTTTGGGTCCTAGCATGAAAAACTAGCTAAGGTTTCCTATAATTATTATACTTATTTCCCACATAAGGACAACATTGATGAATTGACTTGCGCAAGTCAAACAGAAAATCAGCTGTTGAAGGAGGTACAGCACCTAGGGTTTGTGACTTCTGAACAACTAAGGCAACCCTTAAAGCACAAAAGCAAGCTGACTTGCAGATTTCTTTTGGGATAGATCAGGTAAGAAGTGCAAGAGCCATGGCTTCCTTAAATGGAGCTTTGCCCATGGCTCTACAAAAACATACCACAGTGATAATGAGTGTGCGTTAAACAGCATCCCCAGTCACAACATATACAGCAATTCTAACTGTAGCAGAACATAATGCTGACAGCAGAAAACATTCCTGACTTCTTTATCTGGCTCTAAAAAATGATTGTGGTAAAGAAACAGTTTTGAAGACTCCAGATATTAATTTTAAAATTTATGGTGGTCATAAAGAAGGATCATTTCTTATGGAAGACTGATTTACACATAACTGTAGATCAATAGTCATGTAAAACACAACCTTTCATAATGGAAATCAATGCTCTATTATGAATGCTGAGAAAGTCTAACAATCGTTAGTCTAGTAGGTGCAGACATCATGGCTTATCACCCATAATCGCAGTTTGGCAGCCTAGCTTAAGAGAGTCACAAAATGAATCCTTTTTTTAAACAACTCAGTTTGCACAGAGAATTATAAATGCATATATCCTTCCCATGCTACACACCACAATTATGGTTTATGCCAAATAGTATATAAGCAGATACAAAAGGCAGTGAGAAAGAAATGGGAGATTCGTTAAAGAGCCTTCTAAGACAGAATCACCAAATGACCTAGAGAGCGTAGAAGGACTCCTCCCAAACCAGCTTCTTCCACTACGTTGTAAAGGATTATTTTAAGACTGGTTTTTATTCTGCATGATAAAAACTACAAGAGGGTTTTCTTGCATTGTCCTTTACTGCCTTAGGTTGAAAAGCTACTGACCAGGAAGGTCATTTCCAGCATTTCCCATAGGTTCAAAATTACTAGTACAGATGCAGAAGGTAATGTAAAAACACAGCCACTTAATCCAGTGACGTTTTCTTGTGACAAGGTCCCTTTAAAGACTATTATCCTGATTTCCATCCACCCTTTGAGAGAATCCAGTGTGTACTATATTTAAGCGGAATCCTCTAAATATCCTCCCTATTTATATTTTTAACATAAAACAGCCTAAGTGGCACATGACAGGTGAGGAAGACAGCGCTATGTGTAGGCTAAGCAGACCCAAAGCCACTCACTCGCTCGGCCAGCCAAACAAGGTCCCTTCAGAGGGGCTTTCACAGACATGCATCTACTGACCACTCCTGAGTAATAATCTGTTCTCCGCTAGTAAACAGTGCAGATGTATTTTAATAAGAGGATTGCAACTTTAATAAGAGGATGTCAAGCCAGTAAGACTTGACTTGCTTTTCATAGCTGCCACCCCAGGTAGCAGTCCTGGAAGCTGAGGAAGGACAGCTTCTCTGTGAGCTTCAAGGTCTTCTTTCAGAATGTCACTGTGATTACAGAGCCTATAAAATAAAAAAGGTGCTGCAGGAGATGCTTATTTAAGCACAGATCGTCAGCTTCTAGAATCTATGGTGGTTCTTCATGGTTTACTGAAATATATCTGTAATATAATCTGGACATTAAAATGCAGCAGCTATACTGTCTCTCAACAAAGATATAAAATGGGGCAGTTTGAAAAACTTGTTTGTGTGTATGCGGCAATTTTAAATCCATCAGAGGAAGTAACTTTTAACCCTTTGTTGACTTTAATGATGTTCAAATCCACAGCTGGGCAATCTCGTTCCACATTCCACCTGAATGATAGGTATGCTAGATAATCTTAACAGCAGAAAGGGCTAATTTTA